AGCCACCCTGCATCCCTTCAAGATGAAGGGGATGCCTTCGTCTTGCAGCCCGACAGCCCCCGCGGCCCCCAGCCCGTGCCTCATGTTGTGGATGAAGGCATGCTTCCGGTGCTCCAGCTCCCTCTCGCCGCTGTAGCGCTTCCCAAACTTCTCCTGGTAGTGGTGGAAGAGGTGGTGATGGGCTCGGTCTGCATCGCCGCTGCGCCCAACAAACTCCTGCATGGGGTTAGCCATGATCCAATGCTCCGGCCCAGCCCCCGGCCAGTGCTCGCATGTGATCCCTAAGACACGGGTGCAAGGGACCATCAGGGGGTGGATTCGGGTACAGATGAGACACCAGCCATGGGCAGAATCAGTCAGAGGGGGAAAATCCCAAGCCAAACATCATCGTGCACCGCTGTGCCTCTCCTGACAGCAGAGCGGATCCCAACCAGCCGCTGCTGTTGTCTCCGTTCGGCAGCTAGCCTTCCCCCCATCTCATGCCAGGCTCAGCACTAAGGGCTGGGAAAAGCTTCTTGTACCTTGTCCGGTGCAGGTTCATGCCCCCAGGGTTTGGAGGCTGGACTGGAAGCAGCATCGCTGTCATGCAGGACATGTCAAGGGGCTTCTTAGCGTGCCCCCAAAGGCAGCCGTCGCAGATGCACGTGCTAATAATGCCCCCGTCTCCCCAGGAGTGGCCCCACGGATCAGTCAGGGCGTCTGGCATTGGCGTTCAGCTCAGTCAAACTGAGGCACAGGGAACGTGGCATCGGCGCGGAGGGTAGCCAGCCCGGGTGCCGCTGGCACACGCAGACTGCAGTAGAGCCGGCCGAAGAAGAGGAGACCCCTCATCTGAGGACACGTGTCTTGCTAGGAGGGGCAAGCTCACCATGAGCTTGCAATAAGAGACTATACTGCTCAAGGACACGGGCCCCTCTGTGCAAGGGGACACTCGGGCACCAGGGGATGAACTACTGCTTTGCTTGCCATTTGGGTGGGATCTGGCCAGGCGTGACCATGATTTTCACGGGGGGTCCTTTGGAGGAGAAAGACTTTGCAAATAACATGCCTGGCAGCTCTGACAAGTTGAAAGAAACATAATTTAGGTTCTAAACCATGTTTCCCTCCAGGCCTTTTTAAAAAAAAAAATCAAAAACATAGCAACTTTCTATAGTGACACAGGGTGAAGGAGAAGCAATTTGGCCAGGCAATATCAACAGGGTGAGGCTGAGAAATTCAGAACTCAGGGCTCTCCCGCTCTCTTTCCACTAAAGCAACACCCTGAAGTGGAGATGTTCAGAGAACATCTATTTCCACCCCCTCCCAGGCGACATTGGACTCGGCGTGGTCCCGGTCTCGCGTGTGCGGTCACAACCGATGCTGCGCTCCAAGGCGTGGGATGAGCAGGACTGTAGAGCACTCACCCTGGGGGAGGCTGAAGACCCCGGCTGGGAACTTGCGGGAGAAGCTGGTGTAGTGGATCTCGTACTTGTCGTAGTGGGAGCCCAGCAGTGTGTTGAAGCCACGCATCTCGTAGTGCACGGGCGCGGGGCCCTCGGCCGAGCTGGCCACCCGCAGCGTGTACAGGTTCTTCTTCCGGCCCCAGTAGGACACGTTCTGCCAGACGCGGCACAGCTGCCCCTGGTAGTACTCCTCTCGCACAGGCTGGGGAGACAGTGTGGGGGGGCTGAGCAAGGGGGAGGACTGTAGGCATGACCAAGAGAGGTTGAACTGCAGGAAGTCTCCAGCTAGCCCATGCTCACACGTTCCTCCAGGCAGAGGGGCTGTGAACTTCCCTAGCCCATGGGGGTGTGTGCACGGGGGACGGGGAAGGACTGGCTGGAGCCCCTTCTCTTGAGCACTCATGCACAAACTCCCTGGACTTGCTGCTACTCCAGGACAGGGCTGGATTTAGCTTGCAAGTTCAGGGTAGGGGTGCAGGTGGCCGATGTCCCCCCCATGCCTGTCCCCAGCTGGGGTGGAGCAGGGCGAGAGCCAGCCACGGAGCCCGTTCTCCAAGCTGCCGGCCTGATTGCCTGGCGCCCTGAGATGGGGGCTCACCTTGAAGCCGTCCAGGCTGGGAAAGATGCTCTGCGGGGTGATGAGGTACTGGTCGGTGCCATTGACTCGAAAGCACTTCCGCACGTTCACCTCCGTCTCAGTGGTTTCTGGGGTCACCTTAAAGCTGGCCCCGAAGGGCCCCACGGCCCCAAACTGGTACGTGATCACCTGCCCTGGAAGAGGAGATGCCCAAGGAGGGCAAGGCGTTACCAGAGCTCCCCTGCCTCGGACGCCCCATCAGGGAACGGTGCCCAGGGGTCCTGAGCTCCCCTGGAAAGCGAGGGGGAGATGAACGGAGGCAGCCGCTGCTCTGCGCCGAGGGGTCCTGCCTGGTGCTCACGCTCACGAGGACACACCAAGCCTCTCTATAGGGTGTGCAGCAGTGGAAAGGAGCTTAATACCCCAGGGGGGCACTTTTGAGCCCAGCTCCAGCCTCGGGCCCAAAGCTGCCCTCCAGCTGCTGTAGGCGGATGCCTGGTCATTTCAGTTGGGGCAGGTCCAAGGGGGCTGCCCACGGTGCCGGCCACGTTGGTCCCTGATGGGCCAGACGTGGGTTCCCCTGGTCCCCCCAGCACTATCCTGCCTAGGCTGACGACCAAACCCCGCAGGCACCTGCTTGGAGGTCACCCTGCAGATGGGGGCACAGGTCTGAGCAAGGACTTCACCCCAAACCTGCACGCTGTAGCCTCAGAGAGGACTCTGCCATGGACCCCCCTGCAGAGACCTACCCGCGGAGCTGGATGCCCCGGGGGTGCCCCGCAGTGCAGCCGGACCCAGAGGCCCGGGGACGATGCTGCTTCCCTGCCCAGGTCACGCACCATTGTAGTACTGGATCCGGCTCTGTTTCCCGCTCAGGTTGTACCAGGCTTCGAAGGGCTCCTTGATTTCAGCGTAGGGCAGGTGAAGGACCCCTGCCAGACACAAACGGGCAGGAGGTAGGTCAGCCGGAGCGGGCGAGCACCTCTTTGCAGAGAAGGGTGCCTTGGAGAGGGTCTTCCCAAGCGGGCAGCACCAGCCTGGGAGGTGGGGCAGGGCTTCCCCTCGGCTGGGGGAACGCAGAGCCTTCCTCTGGCCCCGAGCCTGGGACTGTGCTCTTCAAGGCAGAGCATTTTACCGGCTGGGCTTGACCCAGCAGCTCGGAAGGGCGAAGTTTGTCTCCATCACGAATCCCACTGAGGATACCGCAGGGGAGAAGGGCAGGAAAGTCCATTAAAAGGGGCAGATAATTTGGCACCGGGGAGCAGAGGCCTCCGCCTTCCAACTCAAGCCCTTTGCAAGGGTGAATGAAGCCTCCCAGGTGTGGCTCTAGCCCAGACACGGGGTCACACCAAGCCAAGCCCACGGCTGGAGCATCACCTGTCACGTGATAGACCTCTCCAAACGCGGGGGCCTTCTCCTGCAGCCTGCACTCTGCTCCTGGAAGGGAAAGGACCTCTGTATTGCAAGCCCAGCTCCCCGCTCCCCGCAACGACAGGCGGTCGGAGCAGCCCAGCACCGAGCGACTCCGGCGGAAGAGCTGGAGGGCACCCCACCGCTGCGGGGCTCCGGCACCCTGGGGGACGCCAGGGTGTGTGCATGACCCCTAGCGAAGGGACTCCCAGGCTCGCTGCGTTGAGGGCTCCCCTTCTAGCACACGCTCATGCCTGGCCCCATAACCCCCCGTCCAGCTGAGCCAGAACACCAGGCACCCCACAGCTGCATTTGCTCTGCTTGAGGCCAGGCTGGATTTTGAGGGCATGAGGCACCCCAGTGTCCCAATGAGAGCCTGGGGGTGTGCGAGGAGCCCTTGGCCATGCATGGGGCAGGTCCCCCCTGGCACTGGGCACCCTTGCCAGTTGAGCAGCCCTCCTGATCCCATTGGCTTCGGATGGGAGAAGGGGCAGAGCAGGGAGCTCCACTCACCTAGCAAAGTGCTCCATAGCAAGAGCATCAGCAGCCCCATCCTTGCAGCCAGCCACAGCTCGCCTCCCCAGGGCCACCGTTAATAAGAGCCTGGATGCAAATCCATGGTGCTCGGCTGACCAATGGAGCAGGCCAGTCCCTTGCTATGGGTGGGGCAATACATGTTAATTAATTCGGGGGGGCAGGGCTTGGTCTTCCCTGCCCCATTGGCTCTGGTGGGGCTTCCGGGGGGCAGCATGTGTGCACTGCAGCTTGCACCCCCGGCTGCAGAAGTGGGCTGGGCTGCGCTGGTTTTGCTCAGCTCTGTGCCATGAAGCCCCCCCAGACACACCCGGTTAAACTCTGCAGCGATGGGCACCGGTGGCAAAGAGATGCTGGGGTCTCCCCATCGCATTGCCCCTCCAAGATCCTGCCTCGCATGTCTCCCGGCAGAATCGTTGCTCTGAAGGCTGGACAGCAGAGGCCAACGGGCAGCATCGCCCCAGGGCCTCCATCTTCCTAAGCAGGGACAGGAAAAGCTGGGCCCCCCTCGGGCCCCAGGGGAGGTGCAGCTAGGCCAAGGGTTAGTGAGGAACTACTTAGTTAGGGAGCTTCTGGAGGGGCTGGACGTATTCAA